GCAACCAACAAGACTAAGCTCAGAATTCTCAGCAGAAACCATGCAGGTGAGAAGACAGTGGGACGGTATATATAAAACCCTAAAGAGAAAAGTTTCCAACCAATAATTATGTACCTAGCAAAACTGTCCCTCAAATATGATGGTGAAATTAGGACATTTCCAGATAAGCAGAAATTAAAGGAATTTGTTCAAACTAGACCAACCTTACAAGAGATACTAAAGGGAGTCCTTTGGACAGAGAAGCAGTAACAGCCAACAACTCACCATTAACACACATGATGATATAACCCAGAAACCAACCCACCTATGGAATCATCCAAAGTAAATAAGCCTACAAGATTGTAAACAAGGAACCAGAGACATCAATTGACAAAGGAGGACAACTATAAACCAAAAAGAGGGAAAAAACTGTTGTTACCAAACTTCTAGATGGTAGGAAAGTCAAGACAACTACAAGATAGAACAGACTGTTCTAAACATGGGAAGAAAATGATAACTGACAGGGTAGCCTCAAAGAAAAATGATAAACGTTCACATCAAAATAAAAAAGAGGACCAGCACAAAAATTTAGCAAATACTAAAAGAATAGCAAAGAAGGAAGTGATAACAATTCATAAACAAAATGAGCTCAGCATAGAAAATTATATGGAACAAAGAAATAGACACCATGAAAAAGCAAAAAGGACAGCAACAAATTCATATTTGCGATAATTACATATCTGGCAAGGCACTTATCTCTAAGATTTATAGAAAACTCCAACGCCTCAACACCAAAAGAATTAACAACCCATTTGAAAAATGGGCAGAAGACATGAATAGACACTTCACCAAGGAGGATATTCAGGTGGCCAGCCAACACATGAAGAGATGCTCACAATCATTGGCCATTAGAGATGCAAATCAAAACAACAATGAGATACCACCTCACCCCAGCACTGATGGCAAGGTTCAACGAGACAGAAAATAACAAATGCTGGCAGGGATGTGGAGAGATTGGGACTCTCATATACTGCTGGTGGGACTATGAAGTGATACAACCACTGTGGAAAGCAATATGGCAATTCCTTAGAAAGCTGGAATTGGAGATATCATTTGACCCAGCAATCCCATTACTAGTTATATATCGAAGAGAGGTGAGAGCCAGGACAGGAACAGATATATGCACACTCATGTTCATTGCAGCACTACAATAGCAAAAAGATGGAAACAACCTACATGCCCACTGGCAGAAGAGTGCATGTACCAAATTATGGTACATACACATAGTGGAATGCTATGCAGCACTAAAGAATAATGTAGAGTCTGCAAAACACTGCATAATATGGATGAACTTGGAAGACATTATGCTGAGTGAAATAAGTCAATCACAGAAGAGCAAATATAGTAGTAGTTCACTGTGGAGGGTCAAGGAAAGGTAGATACATAGAGGGAAATTTTCTCTGTTGCTTGCCAAAGGTGGGAGGGCAGGAGAGGGAACACTGCAGAAAAATACATAAGTAAATAAAGAAAGAAAGAATGAATGAATAAATAAATAAATAAATAGACCCATGTCACTTTAGTTTTGTGTATTTCACTCTACATAAATTATATTCCAATAAAATGCATTAAAAAAAAAAGAAAGAAAGAAAAGAAAGCCCTATGGAGTACAGTTATACTCTAACACACATGGTGTCTCCAGGAGTCAGAGTCAAATGTTGATGACAACTGGTGTGCTATTGCATAATCTCTGAGCCCATCTGTTACACCACACATTCTGCATAGACCACTTACAAGAAGACCTTGACTGTGTTTTTTAAGAACTTCAGTCCCACGTTGCATTTTTCTCCTTGATGTACTGATATGGGTTACCCATGGGAACTCACTCAGAACTCAAGCATGGAAGTGTGAAGGGATAATGGTGTGGAGCCAGCTTTGAATAATGGGGACAACACCCATGAATAAGTCCTTTTTAATTCCCCAGATAAACCATTCAGAGACACATTTCATAAGCCTCCTCAGAAAGTCCTAGGTGATGAAGCTCCCATGGTGATGGTCAATCTACTAAAAATGCATTATATATTGCCTTTTACTCCTTCTCTGCCTCCCTCCTGCCCTTCACTCCTGCTCCCTGAGATCACCTCCTAAACATATTGCCTTCATGCAAACCTTTGTCTCCACTTCTGCTTTGAGGAAAACTCAGTCTAAAACAGTGATCTTTATAACAGAGAATTCATTTCCTCTGGCCACCCAGAGCTGCATTCATTCTTAACTTCCTTTAGAAATGATTCAATGTGACTGGAAGTTTGTCTGCTTGGATAAGGCAATACTGCTTTGGAGAATTTATTCTGGCAGTTTCCCTAGAGAAGACTTCTCCTTGTTGACCTCATTGCTAATGGCTCCATTGTTGCCCCTAATTCTTTTTCTTTTAGGAGTTTGAAATAACACACCTAATTTCTTTGAACCAAACAAACAAAGCAAACATCTAGCTAGTCTTTTCACATTAACCCAGCTGGGAAGGTGCTTGGTAAATTTCCAGGGTTTAGTAAGTAGTCAGTAGATTAAGGTCTTCCTCTTTATCCTTTAGTCGCTGTCATTTATTTTCTTTGCCATTTTACAGAGTCATGAAACCTCCTATTTTTTTGCCTTTAAATGACAAAAGCCTATTTTCTTTGGCAGTCTCAGGGTACAGCAACAGTTAAACTTGCTGCTGTGTGAAAGAGCCATGTTTGTTTAGAAGTTACTCAGAAGGCCGTGAGAGCATGCGACCTGGATTATAGAAAGTAGCCCCAGGAAACTCCGAGTATTTTCTTTCTTGTCTTTTTGCCAGGATGTTGGCTTTTCTTTGGCCAACAGTAATTTGCAGTAAGGTCAAGATTTACGCTGGTTGGAATCTCATAAGATATCAGTCACATTACTTTCTTACAAGACCAAGAAGAGAAACATTGAGGGGAAAATGACATATGTAGCTTAGGGTTCTATATGACAAATGGTTCTTGATGATATTTGCAGGTTACCTTTGGGAAAGTAGATCTTGAAACAAATAAAAATGATTGACTACATAAATACACATCCATCATACTTGAAGAAAGATCCAGACCATGGCTAAAACAGAATACAAAAACTGCCGCATGAGGAAAAAAGAAATTAGAAAGATGCAAATCAGAAGGGTCAAGAGTGAATTCAACAACTGATACAAAGACATTTTAAATAAAAGAAAGCTCACATCATTAAATGATTAGAGACTATGAGCTTTTGAAGTCAGGAAAGGCTAGAAACCCATATTTCTCAAACTGGAAGCTCTCAGGATTCTGTAACCTTGACTGGGGTTGGAAAATGGGGTTTAAGAAAGGAGGGGAGCATTTTCTCTACTTTCAGCTGTCTTTACCAGCAAGATCAGGAACTTTTCTGAGTATCATACACAGTCTATAAGAACATTTGTAAACATGGAAATGCATTTGATGTTGATGTTCCCTATGTGAATCTCATGAGAATTTAGAAAAACAACCAGCAAGTCAGAAGGATTAACTTGGGGGTTTAAAAATGTGGTACTGTTGCCTTTGAGAATCCCCTCATTGAAATCTACTTCATGAATGTACTGTTACTCTATTTGTAATAGCACTGGTGTCTGCTTCCCAGATTTTTTTCCTTAGAAACATTTCTTTTTATTCACTTCCAGGACAATAGCTGGATTCTATCACTCCCAGTGGGCCTGCTCTACATATTCCATTCAAGTTTGCTTATTTTCTTTCATCTGCTTCATGATACATGTAATAATGTATTTTACTTCCATTCAGATTGTTTTTCTATTGATTTTCAATGTTAAATATTTCTTTTGTTAGTGCTTGTCATTTTTATTTGCCTTATTCCAACAAGAATCATCATTATGGCATTCACCTTGCAACATCTAAATTATAAACAAGTGTGACGAAAAACAAAAACCAAACTCACTGCCATGGAGTCAGATCCACCTCATAGCAACCCTTCCTTGGGTTTCTGAGGCAGTATCACTACAAAATTAGATTGCCCAACATTCCTTCCGAGGAGTGGCTGGTGGGTTTGAACTGCCAGCTTTCTGGTTAGCAGTCAAATGCCTTAGGCACTAGGTCACCAGAGCTCCCAAGTCCAACAAAGGGTGATCTTAAAAAACACCGGTTTATCTTACAAAGGTCAGAATTTCAATAGGCAAAAAACTTTGGAATTTCATAGATCCAATTACTTTCTAAAATTAGAGAATGATGGCTAAGTTATTAATAGTGTCAGCAGGGACCTCTTTAAGAGATATACATTGTCATTTTGGAGACCCAATACTATAATAACCTTTTCTCTCATTTCATACAGCATGATAGTGCTTTGGCAATAAAACTTAAAGGTGATATCATTTCTCTTTAGAACGTAATTGGTTAATTAAGCCAAATGACTATTTAATTCAATGACAAGTTCAGTCAAACTGCTTTGCATTGTATAAACAAAACAGCTGGCTGTTAAACAGAATGCTTGATATATGTGTTTTTTTTTAAGCTGGAAGTGTTGTTGTTGTTGTTGTTATGTGCCCCCGAGTCGGCCCCGACTCATAGCGACCCCTCCTTGGGTTTCCGAGGCAGTATCACTACGGAAGTAGGATTGCCCAACCTTCCTTCCGAGGAGTGGCTGGTGGGTTTGAACCTCCAGCCGTCTGGTTAGCAGGCAAGTGACTTAGCCACTATGCTACCAGAGTGTAGGTATCATATATAAGTGCAAAACCTAACAGAATGAACTATCAATCACTTTTTGACAATTCTAAAGGTCTCGTGCATTCTACTTAAATTCACTAAAAAAAAAAAGTTAAAATTTCTATATCTAAAATTATGTTCCCTCTACCTACAACTTACCTTCTTTGATTACAAAGTGTATTTCCTTAGTCTTGTTATATCATGCACTATATTCTTCTTTTCTCCCCTATCTATGCTTCTATGTTATTGCTTTTTCTCTGGTTTACAATTTCAGTGTTCAGACAAACAAAATAGAAAAGCCATGAAGCTTACCATCTCCACTAAAGATAGATATAAGAACATCCCAGCAGTAACTGTTAAGATCCAATTTTGAACACATGGATCAGCCGATACAGAGAGCCCAATGTAGAGTCCTAGGAATGCAGTCAGAGCACTTATAAAATTCATTAGAATAGCAATCTTAATGGAAAGTCCAGAGCTTAAAAGAACAGCAAAGTCACCTGAAGTTTAAGAGGAAAAGAAAATATAATTAACATTTAATTGGTGATGCCAATGGTAAAGTAATACACTATTAGATTAGCTCAAATTTCAGTGATTGGAACAAATTTTGTAAGTAAAGTTGAATGATTGGTTAATAAAGTACTTTCCTATACTTCTCTAAGATTCATAGCTAACTCATTATACTATTAGGCATATATTTAAACTGTTTTGTTTCTTGTGTGTCTCTGGGTGGGACCAATGATTGACACTCAGCTGCTAAGCCAAATGATAGAGATTTGAATTTACCCAGAGGCACCTTGGAAAAAAGAATTGGTGATCTACTTCCAAAAAATCAGTCACTTGAAAACCCTTTGGAACACAGTTAAACACTGACACACATGGGGTCACCATGAGTAGGAATTGACTGGATGGTAATTGGTGTTTTGTTTCTTATATTGCTCCTGAAGTTAGCACATACAGAGACATCTGTGACACAGTCTCATTCCTGATGTCTGTGACATTTTTAGCTTAGATAAATGCAAAATAAAGTCACTTCTTTCCCAGGGTTTCTAAATCTTTTTGCCCTGGTAAAATGATGAGTCAGTAAACATTATATAGGCTTTATTATTTACTGATGCAGGTAGCTCTGGTAGTGTAGTGCCTAAGGCACTTGACTGCTAACCAGAAGGCTAGCAGTTCAAACCCACCAGCCACTCCTCGGAAGGAAGGTTGGGCAATCTACTTCCGTAGTGATACTGCCTTGGAAACCCAAGGAGGGGTCAGTATGAGTCAGGTCTGACTCAAGGGCACATATTAACAACAACAACAATGATGCAGGTACTGGTATGGGAAGAAAAAAAAATCCTATTTGATACAACATTTTAAAATCATTGCAGAAGTTGGTTAGGAAAAAGCATATTTTTTATAAAATTATTTTACTGCCTTGATGAGCATAAGAAAATTATTGTACTCTCCACATCTTTCCTCCAAAAGAAGAAAGACCTTAATAGGTCTTAAGATTTATTAAGACCTTAATAAATCATAGAATCTGTAGTTTTTAAAATTTTGAGGAGAGGTTAAAGATCAAAAAAGACTTCACTTTCTAGTTCCACTGCATAATTGCTCCTATGAACAGTCTTAAACATCTTTGCTGGCCTGCCATAGGCTTTCCACACTACACTGTGGGGTTTAGCTGAGAATCAGGAATTACACCTTTCTTATAGTAAGTAAAACCAAGAGCATAAGACTATTTCAGGCACATTATGATCTTGGATAAACTGTTCCACAAAGGATGGGTCAATGGGCACTGAGTACTGGGGGGCAGGCCAGGGGCACCGTGGGCCTAAAAGCACAAGCAGAAAGAAAGAGGCTCTTAAAGCCCTCTCCCTAGTTTGAGTGCCTGGGCCAGCCTGGACCTGTTCTAGGTCTGTTTCAGAAATGTCTATTCTAGCCCATCTTAATTCCCAGGAGACAGAGTTTGAATTACAGGGCTATTAAGATTATCCAGAGTAAGAGTCATATATGCATCTGCTACCATGCCTGTCATTTCGATTTTATGCTTGGCTTCAAACACTGTGTAATCAGACTGATGAAGCCATGGTTTGGTTTTAATTTAAATGTTATTTTATCTCATTGGTCTGTTTGTTGACCTAATGGGTAAAGTTCCCCTCTTAATGTTTTTCCCACATTTATTATGCAGATTTTAAAGGTCTCTCCAAACTTCTCTCAAACCAGGTTTCTCTGAATGGCTTTCTCCATATACAATGCTTTGAAACACACACAAAAAAGTCACTTCTGGCCCTGGGAAATATTGTAAGGGGGTCTCATTGAATTTTATCCTGAGGTAGAGAAATTTTTCTCCCTACTCCTCTTCCTCTTATGGCTTAAGTAAACTGTGAATAGAAAGTATTCATCTTTCAATCATATGGTTGCAAAAGAAGCCTAATAACTATAGCTAGAAAAATCATGATTTTTCTCAACAAGTAGGAAACTCATTCCACTGTCAGACTTACCCATTTCATGTGGAATTTCATGACACAAGATAGCGATTGTTGTTGTCACTCCCGCCTCAGATGAAGATGAGAAGGCTGCTCCTATCATTAGGCCATCTGCAAAATTGTGCAGGCTATCCCCAACCAGTATCATTATTGCTAACAAGCTAATGGTGTTGCCTAAAGAACCAAATGAAGGTGAGAAGCATTAACAGAGCACTAAAAACATCCTAGAATTCTTCAGACACAACCAACATTCCCTTTCAGCTCTGGTAGCGTAGTGCCCAAGGCACTTGACTGCTAACCAGAAGGCTGGCGGTTCAAATCCACCAGCCACTCCTCAGAAGGAAGATGGGGCAATTTACTTCCATAGTGATACTGCTTCGGAAATGCAAGGAAAGGTTGCTATGGGTAGGGTCTAACTCCACAGCACATAACAACAACAATGACAATCTTACACTGTGTCTCATTACATAACCTTGTTTTTTCAGCAATCAAAACAAGTCAAAATCCAAACATGATAACCAAAATGCTTGGATGGAGAGTCTCTGCTTTTCTACGTGATCTGACTAATAATGAGATAAATTATGCACGACCATTTGCTATTTTATCACATGATCCAGATATACCAAAAGAAGAATATGGAAATATTACTGTCTCCCAAATACCAATGAGGATCTTTCCATGTGTGCCTTTTGCAAAAAAAAAAAAAGTTATAGGATAAACTAAGAAACTCCTCATGGCATATAATTAAAATGGAGCTTAATTTCCAAATATTCTCCCTCTCAGTCAGCTTGTCCCTAGTGTCAATTGACTGCAGTACCCTTTCTGGGTTGTGTGATTATTCTGTTTCCTTCAATCATTGATGCTAATGACCTTCCCTAACTGCCTTATTTTTCTCCCAACCACGACTGTGACAGACAGAACCGCCACCAAACTCTTCGGTTACCAAAGTTAGTTTTGAAACAATAATTTCATGCTCTTGCATTTCTGTGAAATAACTTTCAGTATTAGACCAGGTATGTTGAACAAAATAAGGAAAAACTTCTGTTTCTGTGCAATTCTATTACATAATACATATTATCTAATTAGGAGAGGGTCAATGAAATATTTGGATTATAATGGGCTTCATTAAGATTCCATTTGTGAATATGGTTTATAATGATTTGGGTGAAAGTTTACAGTGCCAGTTAGTTTTCCATTCAACAATTCATACATATTGTGTTTCATGACATTAATTGCAATCCTCACAATATAACAACACTTCCTGTTGTATCTCATTTCTATTGTTCCTTCTTTCCTATTCCTTATCTTCTGAACTTTGTCTCTGGGCAAATGCTGCCCTTTTGATTTCTTATGGTTGATAGTTCTAATTAATGCATACACCCCTGGTGCTATTGTTCACCAGATAGGTCTATTTGTTTGGCTGAAAATTGAACCAAGGGGGAGAGTTAAGTTCTGGGGTAGAAGTGTAAGAAGGGGACATAGTCTATCAGGTCAGTAAACTAGGTCTTTTTCTCTTTCCTTTCTTTTCTCTTTCCTTCCTTTCTTTTTCTCTTTCCACGCTATCTAGGGCCTGTTGTTCTTATCACTTTCAGAGTAGTCAGTAGTGGTAACCAGACAGCATCTAGTTCTGGTCACAGGGTCATAGAGGCTGTGCTTGACTTGGCTCATTACTCCTTTGGAGTAATTGTTTCCATGCATCTTTGATTTTCTTCACTCTTCTTTGCTCGGGATGGGGAGAGACCAATAGTTGTACCTAAGATGGCCTCTCACAAGCTATTAAGACCCCAGTTACTACTCACCAAAGTACGATGTAAAATATTGTCTTTGTACACTATGTTGTGTCAATTGACTTTGATGTCCCCCAAGATTATTGCCCTGAGCCCCCTGACTCAGAGAAAAATTACCTCTAGTGTTTGGTTAAGGCTAAGAAGTTTTCAAAATTTTGAGCAACTGTGAGGATCTCTGGTAGCATAGTGCCTAAGGCATTTGACTGTTAAGCAGAAGGTTGGTGATTTAAATCCACAGCCACTCCACGAAAGTAGGACTGGGCAATCTACTTCAGTAAAGCTTTACTGCCTCAGAAACACAAAGGGGGTTGCTATGAGTCAGAATTGACTCAATTGCACTGAGTTTTTAATTTTTTTTTTAGTATAGTCTACTATATTCATAGATATATTTATAACTCATATAAATCTTCTGTCAAACGTATATATATTTGTGGGTGTAGTCCCATTCACCTGTCCACACATGTTCAGGTAGCATATTTACCTATGCATCTAGTAATAAATTATTGTTATTACTATTAATGAAGGATTGTGTATATAATAGTATTCACCTCTTTTGCCTTTAACTCTCGTGCTTTTCCCAGTGTCTTCCTTTGCCTTGTTCATTTTGCGCTGACCTCTCCTTTATCTTCATTTACCCAAGTTCATATGTATCTATCATCTAGTTCCACCACCAGATTGTCAGTTTATTGTACTGGGGTGGCTTGTGTGTTGCTGTGAGGCTGGAGGCTATTCCACCTATATTTCAAATACCAGCAGAGTCACCCATAGTGAATAGGATACAGCCAAGCTTCCAGACTAGACTCAGAAGAAATGGGCCATCTACTTTTCAAAGAATTGGTCAGTGAAAACCTTATGAATCGCAGTGAAACATTGTCCGATATATTACTGGAAAACTACATGAATAGCCCTGAAACACTGTCTGATATAAAGCCAGAAGGTGAGGGCCTCAGGTATGAAGGCAATTAAAATAAAACTAGGAAAGGGCTGCCTCCTCAAAGTAGAGTCAATCTTAATAATGTGGATGGAGTAAAGCTTTCAGGTCCTCCATTTGGTGATGTAGCATGAATCAAAATGGGAAGAAACAGCTGCAAGCATCCATTAATAAACAGAACATGGAATGTACAATGTATGAATCTAGGAAAAGTGGAAGTTTTAAAAATGAAATGGAATGCATAAAGATCAATATCCTAGGCATTAGTGAGCTGAAATGGACTGGTTTTGGCCATTTTGAATCAGATAACCACATACTCTACTACGTTGGGAATGACAAACTGAAGAAGAATAGTGTGGCATTCATCGTCACAAAAAATGTTTCAAGATCTATCTTAAAGTACGATGCTGTCAGTGATATGATAGTACCCATATACCTACAAGAAAGACCAGTAAATACTGCTATTATTCAAATTTATGCACCAACTACCATAGCCAAAGATGAGGAAATTGAAGATTTTTTACCAACATCTGTAGTCTGAAATTGACCAAACATGCAATCAAGATGTGTAGATTATTACTGGTGATAGGAATGCAAAAGTTGGAAACAAGTAAGAATCATCAGTAGTTGGAAAATGTGGCCTCTGTGATAGAAATGATGCTGGAGATCACATGGTAGAATTTTGCAAGATCAATGATTTATTTACTGCAAATAACTTTTTCAGCAACATAAATTTCAGCTATACATGTGGATTTCACCGGATGAAATATACAGGAATCAGATCGACTACATCTGTGGCAAGAGGCAATGGAGAAGTTCCATATCTTCAGCCAAAACAAGGCCAGGAGCTGACATTGGAACAGGCCATTAACTATTGTTGTTAGGTGCCGTTGAGTTGTTTCCAACTCATAGCAACCCCAAGCACAGCAGAACTAAACACTGCCCGATCCCGCGCCAGCCCCACAATCCCTGCTATACTTGAGTCCATCATCACAGCCATCGTGTCAATCCATCTCCTTGAAGGCCTCCTCCTCTTTCGTCGACCCTCCACTCTACCAAGCATGACATCCTTCTCCAGGGAATGGTCCCCTCTAACAACATGACTAAAGTAGGTGAGGTGAAGTCTGGCCATTCTTGCTTCCAAGGAGCATCTTGGCTGCATTTCCTCCAGGACAGAGCTGTTCTTTTAGCAGTCCATGGTACTCTCAGCATTCTTTGCCAGCACAACTCAAAAGCATCAACTCTTCCTCGGTCTTCCTTATTCATTGACCAGTTCTCACATGCATACAAGGCCACTGGAAATATCATAGCCTGTGTCAGGCGCACTTTAGTCTTTGCTTCTCAGCACTTGAAAGAGGTACTTCGGAGCTAACCTTCCCAGTGCTACGTGTCATCTAATGTCCTGACTGCTGCTTCCATTGGCATTGATTGTACAACCAAGCAACATGAATTCTTTGACAACCTCAGTCTTCTCTCCATTTATAGTGATGCTGCTTATTGATTCAGTTGTGAGGATTTTTGTTTTCTTTATATTAAGATGAAATCCATACTGCAGACTGTGTTCTTCAATCTTCATCAGTAAGTGCCTCAAGTCATCCTCACTTTTAGCAAGCAAAGTTGTATCGTCAGCATATCTCAAGTTGTTAATGATTCTTCCTCCAATCCTGATGCCACATTTTTCTTCATATAGTCCAGCTTCTCAAATTATTTGCTCAGCATATAGATTGAATAAGTGTGAGGAAAGGATACAACCCTGATGCACTCCATTCTTGATTTTAAACCATGTAGTGTTCCCTTGTTCCATTCAAATGACAGCCTCCTGGGCAAGGTACAAGTTCCTCACAAGTACAATCAAGTGTTTGGGAATTCCCATTCTTCTCAATGTTATCCATAATTGTCATGATCCACTCAATCAAACGTCTTTGCATAGTCAATAAAACACAAGTAAACATCTTTCTGGTATTCTTTGCCTTGAGCCAAGATTTATCTGACAGCAGCTATGCTATCCCTTGTTCCACATCCTCTTCTGAATCCAGCTTGCACCTCTGGAAGTTCTCTGTCAATATACTGCTGCAAACATTTTTGAATTATCTTCAGCAAGATTATATTTGCATGTGATATTAATGATATTGTTCAATATTTTCCACATTCTACTGGATCACCTTTCTTTGGAATGAGTACAAATATGGATCTCTTCCAAACAGTTGGCCAGGTAGCTGTCTTCCAAATCTCTTGGCATAACCAAGTGAGTGCCTCCAGTGCAGTATCCATTTGTTGAAATATCTCAATGGGTATTCTGTCAATTCTTGGAGGCTCATTCTTCGCCAATTCCTTCATTGCAGCTTCGACTTCCTCCTCAGTACCATTGGTTCTAGATCATACGCCACCTCCTGAAATGGATGAAGATAGATCAGTTCTTTTTGATACAGTGACTCTGTGTATTCTTTCCATCTTCT